TCTCAGATCTCCTGGGTGGAGTTAGTCCATTACTTGAGTTCTCCAGAATGGCCCAGTGGGACAGGAGGCCATGAACTGGACATGGAAATATGAGTGTATTTTTAGTGCCACCTCTGGTTAGTTGTGGGTTTTAAGTCATCTGCTACATGCATCAGCAGCTTCTCCCCAGACTGGGCCGTATTATCTCTAAAGATCCTTCTGAAGTGAGAACCCATGTTCCTTCACTTCACCCACAGATACGATGGACTTCACTCTGAGTTAGTGTTGCTGGGAATGACCCAGTCTCACTCACTAGCTTGTTTAATATTTACCAGGATAAGGCAGAACTGAGTCCTAATCTAAAACAGGAAACTGGAATTCAGAGAGTTTAGAGACCTGCTGGGGGCTCCAGAAGAAGCATCTAAACTAGGACCTGACATTGGTCTTGCCCATGGCAGCTCCTCCCTTCGCCCCAACTCCTCTGTGACCTCCTTTGGAAAATTTCCATGTCAGTTGACACAGAGCAAATACCTGGGCATGTGAAGGTCACCACAAATGGCTTCTTCAGGGCTTGGGGCTCCCTGTGAGTCAGGATCTGGTGGGACAGGATCAGGCAAACCCCAAATGAAAGGGAAGTGTCCTTACTGCCTCTTCAGCTGGTCCATGGACTTTTTCTCCTCCTCGATTCTGACCTTTACAGTCTTTACAATGGTGGTATGGAAAAGCTCAACCCCTTTAAAGAAAAGCCAGAAACAGAATGAATGAGCATTTTTATCAGTATTGTCCACTATCCATGACAACAGTTACTAAGAGAAAACATTTTGGGCAGGCTGCTGTCTGGAGTCTCTGGGCTTGGGCTGGGGGTCCCAAGTCCCATCTAGAAGCCCCATCCCCATAGATGGACTTACACAGCCTCCATCCTCCCCTGGGCAGAGCGGCTCCACCAGCTATACTCTGAAGGGTAACAGGTGAGTATTTTTTCTCTACTTTCAGGAGTTTCTCCTTAAAATGAAGGCCACAGAGGGGTGGGGGAAGATGGACTAGACTCTGGAAAAACATGATCTCTGCTTCTGTTCTGACTTAGGAGGCCCCAAGGAGCTACTCCAGGACTGAGGTCTGGACCGAGGAGTTCAATGCCCAGTCTGTCTTTGCACTTCAAGAGTATCCTAGTCTTGGTAAGACTCTCCAGAGTCTTCCTCTTTACTCTTTTGTTCTATATCTTAAAGCCTTGGATCACTTTTCCTTGAAGGACTGTGTCTTAATTCCTTGTGGGTTCTACAGGCAAGCTCAGACAGCAGCCTAGGTGCAATGTTATTTCCCAGCGGGTTTCTTAAAAGAAATCCCTTGATTCCACAGCCTGACCTACCTGGATGCCAGGATCTTCAAGGCTTTTATATCCATCACCACATGCAGGAAATAGTAACTCATGAACAGTCTTCTCTGCAGCAGGAGGAAGGCAAAGCACATGCTGTCCCAAATGATTTCCACCTCCCCACTGAGCAGTTTACATAAGGAGTCGTCATCAGCTGGGGGAGGGGAAAAGAAAAAGGAAAAAATTAAAATGAGTACTCATTTTCATTGTTATTTTATAAGCTCTGTGATACAATCACACAGACATACAAGCAAACTTTCGAGACATTGAGTCCCTATGAAAGGATTTATTTGCAGCCAAGGGCACAAACTTCAAGTCTGGTAACAGCACCAGTTCAGAAGGATGACCATAAGTGAGCTCTGCATACTCTAGGGCTCAGGAAGAAAGGCCAAGGAGAAATCGCATCTGTTTGTCCCAACACCAGAGGGAATCTGGGCACAAACAAGACATGTTCTGGGAATGGGCCCTTCCCAGGGTGACTAGCAGAGTAGCTACAGTCTACTGGAAGAAGAGGTGCCAACAGCATATCTGACCCCCCGCCCCAAGTCAGAACACGCTCTAGTGACTTCTTCATCCTCTGACCAGAAGGCAGGGCAGGGCGGGGGTGGGGGTGGGGGTGGGGGTGGAGGAGAGCCAGGTTCCAGGCCCTATGGAGAACAGAGGCGGGGTGGCGCTGTCCAGGGTGCTGACGCAAGAGACAGAGGGTAGGTGGGAATGGGAGTCCGGCCTCTATCAGGGAGGGAGTCTAACTGCAGACATTCTGCTGCTCCTCCCAACTGTCCACCCGGTGGGGCTTCTCTGAGCCTTGCGGTGGGGGCTCTGCAGGCAGAGCTCCTCTGATGATCCACCCAGCAGTCATAGGTGTGTATGGGCATCTGTGACCCTTTCCATCATAAATACAGGAAGTTCAGGGAGTTGCTAAACACCTGCTTGGGGAGAGGGATGGGATGTTTGCAGAAGAAGATCAAAGATTATCTTGGGGCTGGAGGTGTCCTGACCACAGATACCCTGGAGGCACCAACCCACAGCTCCATGAAGACAGAGTTGGGCATCCCTTCATCTCCTTCCTTCAGGGGCTTTGGCTCAGATACTTAAATTAGAACACTACTTCTGCCCTCCCTTCTCTGTCCCTCCATTCCCAAATCTGCTTTTCATACTCATGCATTTTGTATCCCTTTGCTGTGCAGGCCAGGCTGAATGCTTGGTTCAACCAGCAACTATTTCCAATCAATTTTTCAATATAGCCACATGCTCCCATCTGAAAAACAAATGGGAAAGGAGTATTCTGAAACTATGCACTCAGAAAACAAGGTTGACGTATTGCAATCCCAACACATGCAGGAATTCCCCACAGCTCAGTGCTTTGATGGCTCCTAAAATCCAGTCCCACCCAGTAAAGTGATTGATGTTTCACCTCTGGGAGTTAAACCCAAGGACCAAGGAGGAGAAGCCTCAGCATGGTGCTCTCTGCACCAGGAAGTACCTCTCTTTTCAAAGAGGATACTTGGAGCATCATAGGAACAAGCCTGACTCTGCAATAGCCAATGGGTGAGCACTAATCCAGGATTCATATTTGGACAGAGACAAACCTAGACAGCATATTAAAAAGCAGAGACATTACTTTGCCAACAAAGGTCCATATAGTCAAAGCTATGGTTTTTTCCAGTAGTCATGCATGGATGTGAGAGTTATACCATAAAGAAGGCTGAGCACTGAAGTATTGATGCTTTTGAGTTGTGGTGCTGGAGAAGACTCTTGAGATTCCCTTGGACAGCAAGGAGATCAAACCAGTCAATCCTAAAGGAAATCAACCCTGAGTATTCATTGAAAGTACAGATGCTGAAGCCCCAATACTTGGGCCACCTGATGTGAAGAGCTGATTCATTGGAAAAGACCCTGATGCTGGGAAAGATTTAAGGCAGGAGGAGAAGGAGACAACAGATGATGAGATGGTTGGATGGCATCACTTACTCAATGGACATGAGTTTGAGCAAACTCCCTGCCTGATAGTGAAGGACAGGGAAGCTTGATGTGCTACAGTCCATGGGGTCTCAAAGAATTTGACAAGCCTAGGCACCTAAACACCAACAACAGAAAAGTGAAGACCAGGTCTGAAACCCAGGTTTACAGAATGAATGAGTGAATCAGTGGATTCCACAGTCACACACTTTCCAGGAACAGTTCTTGGAAGGGATCAGTTACCAGGCACCAGTCTCTGCCCATCAGACTGGCTTCAGGAGAAACCATGACCTCCTGTCCTGCCTCACCCCCTGCCCGACAACTCTCAACACCACCCCACAGGCAAACACGCACTGCTAGAGTCCAACTGAGAAATAAAAATAACTTTTACTACCAACTAGAAACTTAACCATTCGCAAGGACTGGAGAAAAAATAAATTCTTCAAAGACACACTCATGGTTACAGAGACTTGGCTTCCCCAGACCTCTAAACACAGCAATGTATGTGCCTCCCCACACCCAAAGTCAAATACTTGCGAGGAGAATTGCCTGGCAAGCTCATCTTTAAGTACCAGGAAGGGGAGAAGCAGGAAGTAATATATCACCATTCTTTTATTTCTATTTTAATTAATTTTAATTGGAAGATAATTGCTTTACAATATTGTGTTGTTTTCTGCCATATATCAACATGAATCAGCCATAGGTATATATATATATGTACCCTCCTTGAAGCTCATTCTCACCTCCCACCCATTCAACCACTGTTCTTTTAATGCTCTATCAGTTACAGCCATGAGCAGCAGGCCCTGGGATTGAGTTTAAATCAGAGCTAGAGGTGGATTAACTCCTTCAGCTCCTGAAAGGTCACTGTTTAATTTCTTGACAGAATACATAGCTTAAAAGGTATCTTTGTGGCCTAAAATTTTCATGCGACTCTGGGATGGCCCGTGGGCAGTTTATCTACCAGGGATTGGCCACACTGATCTGGAAGGCAGAAATTTAACAGAGAACTGGCCATGTTCTGTGGACAGGAGGTGTTGGTCTCAATCCTGAACCATCTTAGCTGTTTTTAAGTCAAGGCACCAGTGCTTAGGGCAGCTTTGAAGCTCCTGTGTCCACCCATGCATCAGGGCATCATAAAACACCTGCACCTTTGGGAGCCTGTCCCTCCCATCTGTACCCCACACAGTGTGATGAAAAACCTTGTCCATTCTATCAATATTTACACTTGCATGGTGCTTTCCTGGTAAGAAAGTTGGTTTCAACCAACAGAATATAATTTGTGAAGACATCCCATGACTATTTCAACTCATAAAGGGCCACATGGGGCCTGTCCTGGAGAGATATCCAATTGTTCCTCAGAAGGGATAGATTTCAATTGAGAAAATACATCATAGAGTTTTTTCCCCTACAAATACATATCCTCTTGTCCTTGAGAGGGTAGAAGTGAGCAAAAAGGATTCTGCTTAAAACGGCAAAGCAAGGAGTGATAAACCGTCATTCCAATTCTGAGTTTGCCAGCATCCTATTTGGGGCTTTTAAGAGAGCAGCATGAGAGGCCGAGGGCTTTCTGTAACCACCCAATGGGTCATTTGCTCTGAGGCTGGGACCGCAAATGTGTTACATGGCATGAGCCACTTACTGACAGTATGTTTTTTGTTGTGATCATGAAGACGTTGTAAGCAACCAGTCAGTCCCAGTAGCACAGGATGCTCTTGATGGGTTTCAGCAGCAAGTTGCCCCCGAAGAGCAGGAAGTAGAAGCAGGCCACCACATAGCCCATGCAAAAGTTGCTGATGCGGGTTGTCCCAGTGATGAAGATGATGGTGAGCACGAACCAGAAGAGGTAACTGAAGATGACCACCATGGATATGTCCAGGTATGACCTGGACAACGAAACCAAGAGACAACACAGACAACAGCACAGATGAAGTTGGGAGGTTCTGGTTGAGGAAGGGAATGCATTCACACATCCTCCTCCTGACTTGGCCTGGAGGCACAGGCCAGACAGGCACTCTGATCGCTGGCTGGTCCACACACAATCCTCGCCCAGTTAGTGACGGACAGAGCAGTACTTTGTGAAAATGCCGTGTGCACTTTTATTATCATCAAACTGGGGCCAAACTTCCCACAAGCAGCAACATTCTCTGCCTAGTACCTGAAGAGTCAGACATGACTGAGTGACTACCACTTTCACTTTTTTACACACCAACATGGAGTTTGCAAGCTCTGTAAGCACTCTCTCTGCACTTCCCTGGGCTGAGTCAAGATCCCTTCTGTGGGACCACTCCTCACTCTGCAGACAGGCAGATGCTCAGGCCCCGTCCTCTCCCAGTGATGGAGCTCCAGGAGCTTCCCCAGCTGGGTATCAGCTGACAGACATTGTGCCTACAAGTCGTGTCCTGTCTGGATTCATTTGCTCAGAGGCTCTCAGCTTTGGAGGCTTTGCTTGGTTGTTTCTCTTCCTAAGTTTGGGGAGAAGCACAGAAGCACCAATTGTGCTATCAGATACTTGATAACTGAGTTGTTATTTTGTGGGAGCTCTTAAGTCATCTCTGATAAAATAGGTTCTACACTGTTTTCAGCGTGGTTAGAGAATAAATGGTCCCTAGAAGAATGCTGGTGATGGACAGGGTGATGGAGTTGGTGATGGAGAGGGAAGGCTGGCATGCTGCAGTCCATGGGGTTGCAAAGAGTCAGACATGACTGAGTGACTGAACTGAACTGAGAAGAAAGCTGTCACAGAAGTGGACTTTTGGACTGTACTCTTAGACTAAAATACTCAACACTTTTGAATATTTCCATGATTTTTCTCTAAACTATGTTTCACTCATCCTTGATGTCACACACACTGGAGAATGCGTAAGATGTGGGTGTTTCTCAGCATCCCACGGTCACACAGGCAACATCAGTGATTCAGTCCTGGTGGGATCTGAACACCCATAGTCCTCCTGACGTGTGTGACTTGAAGTTGGTGGAACTAGGCTGCTGGCATGTTTGAGCGTGAGTGTGTATGTACTTGTGTGCACATGTTTGTGCACTGTGGGCTTTCCATCCATTTCCCTTCCCTGCCTGCAGCTGTGAATCCCCCTGTAGGAGCTCCAGCCCTCACTCCTCAGCCTGACCTACTGTGGGCTCAGAAATCATAAAACTAAGCCTGTGGAAACAGCATGGAAACACCAGCCAACATGCCCTGGGGAGGACCTCTGGGGGCCCTGGGAGCACATGAGGCCTAGGCTGTCCTGGGGTTCAAGGGCATCTGCTCCCCAGAACTGCACTGGGCATGTCCATGGAGGATGGAGGATAACAAGGAGGTTTGACCTCCAGATCACCAAGCCATCTGGCCCTGGGATTATTGGCTTCATGGTGCAATTAGCAGGTCAGTGCCCAGTAAAGGCAGGGGGGCTGGAGGCATAGACTTCGGGGTCACACCTTCTCAGGGGCTGCCCGCGGGTGACTGCGTTACTTGCAGTGGATGAAGTTGGGCATGGGGTTGTGCTGGCTGAATGAGGTCACGTCCAGGTTCAGGCAGATCTCTACATTGTCACCTGCCACGATCCATATGGCGGCCTTAGTCTCGTCCTCAAAGATCTGTCATTGCAGCGAGGCACACAGGAGCAGCATGAAATCATCTGGTGGAACAGAAGCATCTGTGGTCTGGCCTTGTCCTTCCAGCTACCCTGTCCAGTCTGTAGGTATATGTCCATGGTGGCAGCAAGAAGCAACTGCTCCCCCCAGACCAGGCCCATCCACCCCTACAGCACCCCCAAAAGGTGGGTGCATACAGGTGTGTGGGGCTGGATAGTGGGGGTATGTGGCAGGAGATAAAATTACTAAAGTGTAAAAAGTGTTTGGAATGCTAATACGGTATTAACTCTGCAGACATAACAGGGCCGACCAGCCTGTCCAGACTGTATGTGCAGGGGTGTGGTGAGAGGGGGGGCAGGAATGCACCACTAGGGAAAGATGATCAGGCGGAACCCCAGCTCCCCACTTACACAAGAGGAACAAAAGTTTGGGCCAAACGATGAAGTCAGGGAAGTACAGCCACTTGACGATATTGTCATTGAAGCTGGCACCCTTGAACCTCCAGGGGTAGTCTGCAGGGGGTGGAGTGGGAGGAGCCAGTCAGGGAGCCCCTCATGCCCTTGAGTTCCCTCCTTCCCAGCGCCAGCACTGGTGTGTGTGGGGGGGACTCACCTCGGCAGGGGGCAGGGGGGGATGCCGATGCAGATGAAATACTGGAAGGTGATGATGCAAGCCAGGAAGCAGCAGTACTTGGGTGGATCAGGATCTCGGTGATGGCCTTCCTCCTGTGCCGGTACAGGACGGCAATCAGCCAGCTGGTGTGAATCACGATGTAGAAGTCTATGCGCTGGCCGATCACGTTAGCTGACATGAGAAAACAGATCTGCATGAGGATGAAAGAGGCAAAAAGTCAGCTTTACAGGGAAGGGGAGTGGCATCAGTGGGCAGCCCCCAGGAGACCTGTGTTCCTGGGGCCAGACCCTGGGTGAGTTCTTCACCTGCTCTGCCTCTGAAGTGTGTTTTCATCATGAAGACAGAAGACTGACCAGGTGGCCGTCAATAAGAATCACTGTTCCAAGTACTGAGGGCAGACCTCCCACACTATTCAGGTCAAAACAGTGTGCTCTGGCTGAGGTCATACATTCAGAAGGCACTAAACAAACACCCAGACATCTGTAAGCCTGGGCATCCTGAGAAGCGATGTCCATGGCTGCAGAGCAGGGGACAGGCACTGAGTCCTGGAGACTCCCCACCAGGCCAGGAACACTGCCATGGAAGTTCCCCCCAGACCCCCGGATCCCAAGGAGGCAGAAACCAGGGCGTGGAGACATGCCACAAAGCCCGAGTGGCCACCTGACTGAAAGCAGACACTGGAATTTTCAGAGAAAAGAGAAAGAAAACAGGTCAGCAAGGAAGCTCACCTCCAGACCAAACCTGTGGAAGAAGTAATTGATGAAATACTTGGCACACAAGTCCATCATCCAGCTGGAGTCTTGTGTTGTTGTGGAAGATGGGTTTTAGACAAAGGGGGTTAAAATGTTGTTCTGACCTTGGTAATACTCCTGATGGCGGTAGATGGTGACCTCAAAGGCCAGAATGGCCAGCATCAGCAGGTTGTTCTAGAAAACAAGGAAAATACATGTGTTGCCATGTGGTCATTTACAGTCTCCTCAAAAAGCCATCTCATTTCACTGTGGGTGTTTAAAGGGACAATGTATGATCAGATGCCACATCCATGAAACAGTCTTGACTTTAATGCTCATTTTCCCTGTTTTGTGGTAACAAGGGTAGAGTCATCTCCAGTTTGCAAATCAGGCTAATTTTCATGATAACAGGATTTAGAACTTCTATACCAATGACTGGCCATGGTCACACCAGATCCAGAAAAAATACCACCGAACCAGACAGCTGGGTCCAGTTTCTCATAAGGGTTGTCCAGCCTTCTCTTCAACGAAATGTGAGAAACTCTTACACAGCATCCTAAAGGGACCCTGGGAAAGAGACTGAGCTGCAGACTGGGGCTCAATTTAGCAAGTTTTGAACACAGCACCTCTGAAAGCTGGCTAGAGAGAGCAGTAGAGTGAAAAATATGCTGACCATACTACAAAATAATAATATAAAATAGGTAACTTTTATGTATCAGACATTATTCTAATCACCCTTGCAAATATTGAGTTGGTTTTATCCTTGTAACAGCTCTTAACATCATTTGTATGTTACAAACAATATTGGTCATGTGAGCAAAAAACCAGAAATCTACACCAAGAGAGAGAGGAGATGCTTAGTACACTTCCAGACTCCAGGAGTTGAGTACAAAGGCTTTAATTACATCATCAGCATAATCCATCAAAGTAAAATGCTCAAACTATCCATCATAGTAACGTGAATAATCTGAAGTATATTGCTTTCCTTATGTTTGTTACAACTATTTGCAATCAAAATTCATTTTTCAAAGACACGCTCTTTATATGTGGCTACTTCTAAACATAATAGATGCCACTGATTAAAATATGTAGAATGTAGAGAGCAAACATTTCTTGTCATGCTACACTTACTTCTCAGAAATAATTACTCTGACCATTTGTTGTAATTTACTCAATATTTTTTCTTTGTGCCTACAAGACATCATTCTATGTATCCTGTTTTGAAGTTTGCTTTTTTTTTCAACATTATAATATATTTTGGATATCTTTCAGTGCCTGATAATATCATCAATCTACCTCAGTCTTTGAGTGGTTTCGTAACATTCCAGTGAATATATTTGTCATACTCTATTCAACGAATCTCAATTTACTCAGCTGATTTCTTTACAGCACAATTCAATACCAATTTTAACATTCAGTCATGTGTTTTGGAGGTGACTTCAAACCCCATGTAAAAGGATGAGGCTGCTCTCAAAGGTGAGGTGAGTGGTCTCCAGGGAAAGGGCTGCAGACGTGAACTTGGCAGAGGCAATGCTAAGGATGAGGAAGCCTTACCCTCAGGTAGACGAGCAGAGGAGATGACTTCCTGAGGCCCATCCATTCCATGGGGTCAATGGGTGCGCTGTAGATCAGAGACATGTTCAGCTGCTGCAGGAGTATTTTCATCTGCTTTTCATTTGGCTGAAAAGAAGAAAGGAGTAAGAGATGGCCCCACAGTCAGGAGAGTTCAGACTAGTCTCCTTCAGCTTTAAGCAAAGGGACTCAGGGAGGACCCACTTCAGAGGGAGTCAGCCTTAGGAGAGACAGGGTCAGGACACCTCCAACTCACTGAACCGATGAAAGCCTGATGGCGAGTGCTGGGGGACGTGGGTCCCCCGAGGTCTGCCTCCCTTCCATGAAGGCAAGGCAAGGAGACCCCCATCTCTGAGGCTCACCAACGAACAGTTCACAGAGAAGTTCTCAGGCTTGATGGTCTGCAGCTGGTGCAGCATTTTACAGACGATGATTGCACATGTCCAGACAGTGCAGACACTGGAGGACAGACAGTGGAGCTCGGCGTATGGCAGAGTGAAAGCCCAGGAAATCAGAAACACGTAGTTGAACAGAGACACCTGAGAACACAAAATTGGAAATGTGGACAAAAACATGTCACATGGCACAACATCTAAAAACCTAGATGTTTTTAGGCAACTTGACTGATTCAGTTCCTCTGAGCTGAGCAAAGGCTGGCTGAGCTTTTATGTACAAGAAACAGCTGTGGATGTTAAGATATACATTTTGTATGCAGACAGGTGTACAACCAGGTGATGTTAAGTAACATCACAATGGGAAACTACAGAGGTGAACAGGTTTCTGGGAAGACACCTGGGGGATCCTTGGCCCAACCTGGGGTTTCAGGAACCTCTCCTGGGAGAGAACACACCTGAGTGGTGCCCTTAAGCGTGGGACCTTAATTCCGAGTGGCCTGGGGCTCCTTCATGGACACCCAGATGATGTAGGAGGACATGATCTTGATGATGTGCAGCTCCAGGATCCACCACAGGGACGTCTGCAGCTGGTAGAAGCCCTCCAGGAACCACAGAAGCAGCACTGTGAGGTGATCGATCACCAAGTGCCAATTGTTCCTCAGATCTGCAAGGCAGGACGTGTGTGCAGCTGTGAGTGGAAGCCTGGCCTGTACGGATTGTTCCCACAGTTTCTAGCTCTCTGGCTGGGTCAAGTATATACTTGAGCATATAGTGAATATATATTTTATTATATACTTATATTGAGTATATATTTTGTTGACTTGGAGCAAGTCAGCGTTTTGTTTCCCCCACCTGTGAGTCAGCATCCGAGCGGCTCCTGGGCGGGCAGCTTACCTGACGTCTCTTCCTCCTCTTTGTCCTCCTTGTCCTCATCCTCATCCTTGTCCTCACTGTCCCTGCCAGGCTCGCCTTTCTTGGCTTTTTCAGGGCATCCCCCCCAGTGTCTCCTCCCCAGGCCCAGCCAGCTGCTTGACTTCTGCTACCTCCAGGCTGGCAGTCAGCTTCATCATGGCGAGGTCCAGAAGGCTTCACTTGGGGTGGGCCAGCCTGTTGGCAGAGAGCAGCAGAGTCAGGGAGAGAAGGGCATTGGGAGCTGAGAGTGAGGGGCATGTGGAGGAGGATGAACAAAATGGAAATCACTATGCAGCCTGGCATGTGGGCTTGTCAGCATCTGGTCACTTTTCATTTTTTAAAGCTCTTTCTAAAATATGAACTGTAAACTCAGGTTTGGTGAGCTCTTCCAATTCAGATTCTAGTGATGAGTCACTCATGAGAGCTATCAACACCTCAACACCTAAACTTAACATTTTTTTTTCCCTCAGGAGAAAATGGTCAGAGTTTAGGATGGAGAAGCATAAAATGGCATCGTGTAGAGCAAGAATTTCAAGGCTTCACAGAGGGACTTACTCATTGTGGTGGATTGGTACGTTTTTCTTGATGCTGCTCAAAGTAATGGAAATAGAAAGAGAAATAAAAGGAGATGAGAACAGAAGAGTTATAAGAAGAGTCAGAGATCACACATCATGCTACAGTCATCTACTGTGCACTGGGTGCAGGGGCCCTAACACCACGTGCATTCCAGGATGGCGGCCACAGTGTGTTTTGACTGGGAGCCCTGAGCTGGGCAGCTGATTTGAGAGTGGACGGCGCTGCAGTGGTGAAGGGCAGAACACAGAGACTGCTAAGGCAACTCAGGTCATGCTTTCTTAGAAACATGGCAAACTATCCCCTAGGAATCAAGTCATTCACAGTTTAAGGAGAGATTTTTTATTTTTTTTTAATTCTTAAATAACGTGTAATGTTGGGCAAGCTTTGCATGGACTAATCTCATCCTGTGGTCATCTGAAGCATTATGCAGTGGATGCAAATGCTTCCAGGGGTAAGAAGCCTGCAACAAACCCCATCCTCAGGCACCAGGCGAGCTGCCAGACCAGATCTCTGTGAAGAGTGCAGGAGCCCGGCTGAGGGGGCTGTAGCCTTAGGGAGCTCAGGGACTCTCGGGGGTCCAGCTTAGCTCACAGCAAATAGTAATGAGTATGATCTTGCTCCTCAATTTGTAAAGAGCATATCTTTTTATTCATATTCAAATGAATGTTTGAAGGAACGTTTTTGGGCAATAAAGTGGACATTAGGAAAAGGCTTATTACAGATAATGCAGGTAGTCCTCCTCATTTGCAATAAACTATTCATTTCAGCCTGATTGTCACAAGACAGACATTGACTATTGTTATTGTATCTGTAATACTGTGGGCACTGAGTCAATTTCACATCTCTGTAATTTTACTTTATTTTTTTAACAAAATGAAGAAGTTTAGCTAGATAAAAATCTAAGCTCATATGCAACTTGTTGGTTTTGTATTTAAAATGCCTGTGATATTGGAGAACTGTGGTCAAGATTCTGCATCGGCCTTGGACTTTCAGAGAGGTTTTCCTTCAAAAGCAATTCCTTTTAGAGATGTCAAGCAGGTAGATCACAGAATGTCAGAAACAAATTGCTAATTTAATGAACAAATAATGTTCTGAGGTCTGGTAGAATAAAGTGTGCTGACATGTACTTGATTATTTTCTTTTTCTTTTCTTCTCTTATTGGATATATACATACATATAGCTGATTCACATTGTTGTACAGCAGAAAGTAACACAACATTGTAAAACAACTATACTTCAAAATATAAAGTAATTAAATCATATGATCCCCCCAAAATTCACCTTTCAGTTTGACTTTGATCCACATTATAGCCAGATTTCCACATCATTATTTTCCACTTGTATGTACTTACTTATTTTCTTAAGCTAGATAATTCACCTGAGAATATCTGTGTACATAAACTGCCTCTTATTGAAAGTATGTATGGCTGGAGTTTCTACCTTAATGACACTGTGTGAATCTTTTCACTGTGCTTTCGTTTTTCTCATAGCGTTTTTCTGAGACAACCCAGAACAATGTTAAGAGCATGCTCTTTGGAATCAAAAAGATTTAGATTCAAGCCTCAACTAGACATCTTACTAACAAGGGTAAATGGCGAAGGTCCTTACTCTGTCTTTTATTTTAAAAAGATATTGAAATAGAGTTGATTTACTATGCGTTAATTACAAACATGTGATTCAGTTACACATGTACACAGGATCAGATGTAATGGCCCTGATTTGTGTATATGTAGCAGAAATAACCATTGCTCCTGTTAAAATATTCTAAATCAGTCTGTTTACAAATTCAGTTGGAACTTCCTGCAGTTTTTCATACCATCAGAATTTTATCAGTCAGCCACTGTCCTTAACACAGCCCTACCTCACATCTTATAAGGTCAAGTCTAAATTGTGATTGATCCAGAAGTCGGATATAGGTATGCCCCCTCTTTCATCAGAACTCCTATCTACAAACACATTATTCTCCTTATTAAACAGCACTGAGCACACAGAAATAAATTTGGGGAGGAAGAAAGCTTATTGACTCAATAAAAGTTTCACCCTATCATTCTAATCAAGAGAAGTCCCTTCAAAACTGGACACACTTCACATGCAGCCTTCAGAAGCACATGCTGTGCAGGGACAGAGGGTTTATTAGGTCGAGTGCTCCCTAGGGCACAGCTCTGACTTTTCTTAAAATGTGGGCATTCAGACAAAAATGAGAGTTCACTGGAAAGAAGACTGAGATAATTGTGGAATGCTTCAAGTTTTTAATTATTTTGTATGACTGCATCTAGGTCATTCTGAGAACTCCTGAGCCAGTTCAGGGTTGATGGGCATGGACTTTTCCTCAGAAGGAAAGCAGGGGGCCAATTCTGTACCACCAGCATCCTTGCACATTGGTTCTAGGACCCCCACGGACATCAATACCAATGGGTGCTCAAGTCCCTTGTATAAAATGGTATAGTATTTGCTTGTAACCTATGCACATCCTCCTATATATTTTAAATGATCTCTAGATGACTTGTAATACTTAATACTATTTGAATGCCATGGAAATAGTAACTGGCACACAGCAAATTCAAGTTTTGCTTTGGGGAACTTCCTGGATTTTTTTTTTAATGTTTTTGGTTGAATCCATGGATGCAGAACCCATGGATACGAAAGGCTGAGTGTATCAGTTGTCAGAGCCCATCAAACCACTCCTGCCTCTTGGGCACCCCAGCCACCTCCTCTTAAAGCATATGGTCAAGACTTTATCAGAAGCACAGAGGGAGAGACAGACAGATATAGTGTGGTTCTTTATGTTAAGAGGGATAAGACTGATATCGTTGCCCACAAAACCAGCCCCAAAGGGAAACCACCCGGCCTCATTCCTCTTCCATAAAGATCTCCACAGAGATGCACTAAGTTTTTTCACCTCTTTCTAGACGTTCTGCCTCCTTAGGTCTGCTACTTGTTTATCAGCCTCAGCATTCTGCTTAAGAAGAAAGATAGTGGAGTAGAAAACCTACAAATCTTTCCAAGAGTTATTTGTTAAGTGGATTTATTGCAAAATACGTGCTTCTATTACTTGAATTACTGACTTGATTACTTATGACGTGAAGTTATGGGAGTGGATATTTTAATTCTCTCAATAAATTAAGAAGAGCTTTGGTGAATTAGACCTGAAGACTCTTCTCTTTGGGCACTTGAGGATAACTCCACACACAGCAGTTGTCAGAGCTCACCCTTTGTTACCTGTGGTTATGAGCATGTGTTATCTCCCTGCCTGGGTGATGTGCATCTAAGGCACACTGCCCAACCTGGTTTTTTTTTTTTGGCAGAAGGCAAATATATTGTGAAATCTGTCATGCAAAATACCATCCTTCTATATGATGCTCTTTTAAGTAGACTTAAGAAATTGGTGTTTTAATTTTCTCTTAACCATAGATTGTTGTGCCTATTATCACTTTATTCAGGAATCTCCACTAGTGGTTAAGACCCCATGGTAGGTGATATGTGGGCCCTGCGGTGGATTGTACGGGGACTCAGGGGCTGAGGGGCAGAGGTGGCGGGTGGGGGAGATAAGACAGGCTGAAGGCCAGGGTGGGGAGGCGGCAGCAAAAAGAAAGTGCACTGGGAACTCAGAGGAAGGGCCGGTATGCTCAGCAGGGACTCGGCAGTGATGGGTAGTT